GAAAATATGGGTAAAGTAATAATCATTCATGTTATAAAGTTAAACCATCCTTTGTAATTTAATTGGCAGTAATAATCTAATTTCATCTTTAAAAGAACTACTGAAGTCGGATTTTGTACAAATCAAATAACGGCAGCGGATTTTTCAGATATCATACCTACGCTCGGTAACATGATTTTTTGTCTTATTTTATTCTCGTTAAAACTCTAGCTAGGTTTAAGCATTCATGGAATATCTTTAGGACAAGAACATAACTCATGGGGCTATCATGGCGATAATGGATATTTGTTTTGTTCTGGAAGTGGCAGACAATATGGACCGCCATATAGTGATGGTGACTCTATTGGTTGCTATCTAAATTTCAGGAATAGAATAGTATTTTATACTAAAAATGGAGTTAATCTAGGTAATTATCACTTAATATCAACGTTTTAATAAATCTTAAGAATAGTTAAGATTTAATGTTTTCATATTTTCCAAGGAATTGCATGTTATCTACCCAATGATTTGGAAAATAGTTTGTATCCTTGTGTTGGGCTATCGCAAGGCGGTTCTGTTGAAATAAATTTTGGACAAAAAAAGTTTGAATATTTAAGTAAGTTTATATTAAATAAAGATATATATATACTTTTTACGTATTTTAGATAATAGTAAAATGCTAATATACTTTTTATGAATAGCAATGAATAATGATGATCTTAAAATAGAAAAAAACTGGCTTAACATTAAAGCTCTTGATATATATTATGACGAATTGACCGAATTGTTACAAAATCAACCAAATAATCCAATCGCGTTATTGTGTCGAGGAAAAGTTTGCTTAATTATTGGCAAATATGAAGAAGCACTTGCTGACTTAACTAAATTGTTAGAAATTGAACCAAATAATGAAGCTGCGTTAAGATATCGCGGAGAAGCTTATTTTATAATGAAAAGATATGATGAGACATTGGTTGACTTGGAGAAATTAGTACTTAAATCATATGATGCATGGGCAGCCGAAACGTGAGTAAATAAATAGACGTATGCTCATTTCGATCATAATCCTAAATTGGATTTTTCTAATTATATTTACGTAAAAAATTATCAGTTAGTGAGTATTTAAAGCTAGCATTTTAAAATTTTTTATTAAGTAACGCTAAAAACATTCGCATATATACATATGTTATTAGTCGGTAAGTATTTACTATCAAGGATTTTAATAACGAAGTTTATGTACTAAAAATAGCGCGCTAAATAATTCATATTACAATATGATTACGTAGTCTGTAAGTATTTACTGTTTAGAGCATTTTTAAAATCAAATTCTCATTCTTTAATAAAATAACACTAAGTAATTCATATTTTACGCACACATTATTAGTATAAAACCGTGAGCATTTAACACTTTTAAGATCATATGATTATTAATTAAAAGCAATATAAATCATCGTACTTATTATACACATATCAAAATTAGGGATAAAAAACCGTAAGTATTTACCGCAGTAGTGTCAAACACTTCGCTATTTATTACCAAGATAACATGAAATAATATATCAATACGCTCATAAATGGAAATATAGTGAACTATAGTGAGTATTTAAAATCGAATATTTTAAAATAAAATGCTTGTCATTTGAACAATAATAAAAAAATAACAATCGCATACCTATTAGCAATATTATTAATCCGAGTATTAATCCGTAAGTATTTGGACGTTTAAAATTGAATTACAACAAACTTCTTTTATGAATTAAAAAAACCAAATAATTTTATTAGAACGTGAGTATTTTTGGAGCCAACTCAATTTTAAAATAAGAATTCCAATTGATTTAAAAGCGACACAATTATGTTATTGGTTATGGGTATTGCCATTTTTAAATTTTTGTTATACAATTTACATACATATAAACTATATATTAGTAAGTAAGTATTTGGATATTTAATATCGAACTGAAACAAATTATCATGAACCAAATGGCACAGAATAATTTGTATATATAATATTATTAGGGCGTGAGTATTTTTAAAATTAAATATATTTTCAAAATCTGAACTCCAATTAATTTAACAGTAAATAACACAAATTAAAAAAATTTTACTTATATAAAATGTTATTAGTTTGTGAGTATTGATACTTTTTTTAAAGCTAAAATGTTTACTATACGATTCAAAAATGATTAACGTATATATTCACAATAATATTAGCGCGTAAGTATTTGAAGTCAGACATCGAAATTCCCGTAATTAAAAGTAACATTAAAATAATTATATACTTATTTACAACATATACGTAACCAGTCAGTATGTATTAGATTCAGATCATCGTTGATTCTAATAACTATTAATTAATTCACTATATACTTATTATTAGGAAGTAAGGTTTAGATACGGGCATTGAGGGGTTTCAGAATTAAAAAAAAAGAAAAAATAGCGTATTTAAAAAAATCTTATTCGTGTATCAAAAATTTCGAAATCAGGAAATGAAATGGGAGTGTTTTAATGCGAAATAAATCAACTTTTCTTCGGATCGAGTCATTATAGGTGACCCATTCCTTTGGCACAGAGCACACCTCTGTGCCAAAAGAAAGGGTAACATATAATAGACAATTCAACTTAGCCCAAACCTATCGGAAAACGAAGTAAAATTGTTGCAACCTTATTTGAAAACAAATACGCATCTGTTTTAATCAAAATTGGCATTTTAATTCTGAAACCTCATTTATAAAATCAAAATTTTAAACTAATACTAAATTCACACAATTACACTACTAGCTTGTGAGTATTAAAAGCAAAATATTTTTAAAATTCTTGTTTATACAGTATAAATAACACAGAGATTTCACATCATATCACTAGGAAGTGAGTAAATATTTTTTAATGATAAAGTTTTTCTAATTTAAAATAATAACACGCACAAAATTAATAATGTTAGTGAGTAAGTATTTATTTAGAGTTAAAATTCTCGTTAATTCAAATCAAATTATGCGAGGTTAAATAATTACATATTTGTTTGCACTATATTGTTAGTGAGTAAGTATCTAGACATTTTTAAAATTCTATTATCATGAAATAAAATATACTAAATAATTAAATATGTCATTAGACTGTGAGTATTTAAATTTTTAAGATAACATTTGTTAAAAATAAAGTAATACTCGTTAACTTATATATTTGTATACATTAGTATGTAAGTGTATAGATTCGGACGTTCATAAGATAAAATTCTTGTTAACTCAAAATAAATAATTTTGATATTATTTTTAGTGAGTGAGTATTTAACAAGTTTTTTTTAAAAAAATTAAAAAAAATTCTCATACATACATTGCTCAAATTCTATCCATAAGAATAAACAAAGAGAATAAGGAGTGAGTATTTAAACGTTTTAAAAATCATCGTTAACTCAAAATAACGCCAAACAATTCAACATATACTTGTTGCATTATTAGTCCGTGAGTATTTAAAGTCTTATCATTTTTTAAATCAAAAATCGAATACTGAACGTTGGATAATTCATATACTACATGCATTTGATTGTTAGAGAGTGAGTGTTTAAAGTCAAAATATCTTCAAGAATACCAAATAATTCATTTACGAAAATACATTGTATTATTAGGGAGTAAGTATCTAGAAGTCTTAAAATATTTTTTAAAAAATTGCATACTTATGTATATACATCATATTTATAGAGAGTGAGTATTCGTAAAGTCAGTAATTTAAAAAAAATTTCAAATAACTTACAACATATACCTATTATGTTATTAGGAAGTAAGTTTCTAGAACCAACCATTTTAAATTTAAATTCTCGGTAAATAATACAAATTATTTACGTTTATAATGTGAATAGGAAGTGAATTGAGTATATTATGTACATACGCACATTGCGTTGTTAGGGGTAAGTGCTTAATTTTGACCATTTTTAAAATTTTAAATTAGCTTTAAAATCGCAATTCAATACATATTTTAGAAGGCAAATGTTTAACCTCTTTAAGGATCTAGATAGGTGGGTACATTTTGACTTAAAATAAGTCAACTTCTATAAATGTACCTGAAATTATAAAAAAATTTCAAAAAGTGCATTATATTTAGGTATGCATTTTTTGGAGGGCATTTTATTAAAAATTATAAGCTTGGGTTTAAAAAAAAAAACTATCCTTAGACAATTTTTATTTTTTGTTTAACGTTTATATTTTATCGCTTTGGATTTATATTATTATATTTCAATCTTTATATTTTGACTTTCTTTCAATATGCTTTTTTTTTTTTTTTTAATCATGCCCCAATTTTACTGTATATCAATAAATTTTAGCAGATAAAATTGGATTTTTTTATTTAGTGTTTATTATTAAGAGATTATAAAGTTTTTAATTATTTTAAATAAAATTCGACTAAGTTCAAATATTGTTTTGTTGCTGCGTGCATTCAGGCTATACGTATATAAGTGCGAATATATATGCACTCCAAACCAGGAACGGATGAATATAAATAATCATGATTTTCCAATTTAACATGGATCAAGAATTATTGAGGGCGTTTGTTTTATATTGTTTATTTAAAAAGTACTTCAAGCTTGAAGATATTTATTAATAAAATACTTAATTAAAGATAAATATAAAAGATAAATATATAATATCTATTTATCAATTTTAATTTGAAAAGTTATATTAAAGCAATAATAAAATATATGTAAAAACTAAATTCTTAATGTTTTTACTTAAAAGTTGAAAGAAGGTTATCTTAATAAAATTTTGAGTTATTGGTGTATTTTTTTTTAAACCTTAAAATTTGTCCCAGCCTTGTCCGAACTGTACAACGCTGCTTCCAACTTACTCAATAGGTTACTGTCGAAGACAATTCTTATTTCAAAGTTATAAATATATGTTTTATTTATTTACAGCCTAATATAAATTTTAATCATAAAGTGTTGTACTATTATGGTATTTAACATAAATGGCTCACAAATAAATCCAAAATAATTTTATTTTTGAAGTTAAAAAATCTTAGTTTGACTACATTACCTATTTAATCTCCTTTCCATCTCTATTGTCTTCTATACCAAACCCATCCTCTTTATCATTTGTTTTCCACTTTGTTACATTATCTTGAATTTCCTTTTTTCTTTTATATAACTTATAAGAAGTATCGGTCAATATAAAACTTGTAAATGCCAAAATGAGATAAGTCTTAACCCAAAGAATTGAAGGTCCAACGATTGTACAGAAAACTACACCAGAACAAAAACCAATTATCGCCATTGGTCTATTAGATCTTCTCAATGGCCTTAGAATTTTATCTATTTGATCTAATTCATCAAATTTCTCTTCATAAATATAAAATAAATATAATTCATTCTTTTTTTGAAGATCCTTATGAAGATCATAAAAAATATCTAAAAACATTAAAAATGCAACTACAAACGCCACAATAATTGGTACTAATAAAAAAGAGTAAGCTGGTGCAACATAACCTTCTTTAACGGCCAGAAAAACAAAGGTTATATCAGCAATGAATCTAAATAAACCACTTAAAAGTGGAGGAATTATTGCAGAAAGTTTGTGAAAAATGAATCTACTACTATTGTTATTATTGATAAAATAAAGATAAATTTGAAATAAAATAGATAAAAATATTTGAAAAAAGTTAATTATAAGTGTTACAATAAGATATATAATAAATAGGAAATTTTGAGTATTTGTGTAAACTTTAACACAGAACATAATCTGTAAAAGAGGTAATACTAATGCTCGGATACTGTTACCACTTATATAAAACATATTACGTAAATATTTCAATTTTTTATAGTCTTTTATAGCAGAAGCATCGATAGTTATGACTGATGAAATCAGAACTGTGGTCATCAAATCAAAAATTGACTCGATAATTGAGTCAGATGAACCCACGACTTGATTTTCAGTAAGTGCATTAACTGAGTTGAAAAATATCGGAATGATTGTTGGTAAAAATTTAATGTAACCAAAAAGGTCTGACCGTCTCGACTGGTCAAATAATTTTAACATTATGAAAATGATATAGAGACTTATTGCCATAATGATTGCGTAAAGAATATTCGATTTTGGATTTAAATTTTTTGTGGACATTGTTAAGACATATCACTCCTTTTAAATAATTTGAAGGTATGTGTGTCTTCACTTATTTGCATACATACATTCGTACGTACGTACATAAATAATACTTAATCACATGCGAACAATATACATATACCGATGTGTTGGGTTTATATTTATATGACTTTCCGAATCTATTTTCCTGGTCCTCAATTAGACCTCTACAAATGCAAATTCCTTAAATGCGATACATCTTTAAATGCAGCCTTTAATCCTGACATAAATATATACCAAACATTTATAAATCTAACTTTTCCATTGTTCCTTAATGCAGGTCATCAAAGTTTGATTCCCATGAGTTGCATTTAGGAGGGTTCGTTCTTTCAAAAATCGATAAAGACAATGTAAGAAATGGATTTTTGTTTAGCCGGATTTTTGTCCGGAGGACTCTTTGTTTTTACGACAAGTGATAAATTAGTGTCACTTGATCTTGTCTGTCTGTGCCTTCTGCGTTTATGATTGGCTTAATACGCTGTATGACCTACGTTACACTACGATCACTTTTTTTTATCAATACAGCAATCGCTAAACGTATCAGTATGTCGCTTTATATCACTCTATAAGTTTTGGTTTATTTTTTGTTACTATATAATAATCAATTATATAAATAAATTTATTATCTGTTGAAAAATTAATTTTAGTAGTAGCTCCGGACTCACAATGCTGCGCATTTCCTAGCTTATATACGCACGTACCAGAACATTAAATTGAAATTTTAAACAATTTGACTTATTAGTTAGTCTGATTACCAAAATTAAAAAAAAGAAAAATCGAATAAAAACTTCTCCAAAACAATGTCTCATGTTCGGGAAAGACCCCGTTAAAAGAAATCCGTTTAAACTTTACAAAAGGTGCTGAACCTGCATTCATTAGCATCTACGCTAATTATGCTAAACACAGTTTTTCACACAAGATGTTTATTGTTGTAAGTTAATGCAATAAAAAAAATACACACACACATAAACTAGAGTTTGGAGCCGATTTTATTTTTCATCCGGTTTAATCGGTTTAACATACATAAACACAACGGCGGATTTTGCAAATTGGACCTTTTTTTTTGCTAGTTCTCAGATCTAAAAAAATTTTATTAAATATATAGATAGTCAACTGATTAGTCCGTCCTACAAAATTAAGGGCTATAGTAAAGCATCCGGTGTACATGTTATTTGAAAAATCTGCCGATGATTATCATTGACCAATTTAGAAAATTA